ATCTATGTAATTGCAAAGGTAATTTCAAGAACCTTAATAAAGTACTAGCGTGACTGCTTAAGTTAAAAAAAAAAAAAAAAAAAAAAAAAATAAAATAAAATTTATATAGCTTGCTCTGATTGGTGGCTTCACAAAGAAGAAGAATCCAGAGTTTAGAAGAAGAGTTGGAGGATTTATAAGTTTTCTTGGAAAATCAAACCTGCAATTTTTTCGCAAACCATGATTATATTTTTTACAGAATCAGTTATAGTGGTGAACAAGTGTATATTTAGTAATAGCAAATAAGTCTTGACGAAATTTTTCCTCGAATCCATCTGATCTTGGATCTGGTATAGGTTGAAAAAATGGATGTATTTGTTTTTCAATAATTGTTTTTGAAGCAACATATTCTGCTTTAAGCATTTCATCAGTTAAAATATCACCTTCTTTAAGAAGATAACTTATATTCTCTTTAATAATTTTACTAAGGTAACATAATAAATAGTTACTAAATTCATTATTATCTTTAATTTTACAATGTAACGTAATTGGATCTGATGCACCATGAAACCAAATAAGCATGTAACAATAAGAGGTGCCATGGTTCTGGTACTCAACAACACCATAATAATTTTTCATAAAACCAAATATTCCACCTTTTTCTTTATTATAACCAATCAAAGTGTCTATAATTGATTGAATAACTATGTTAAAATATTTTGCAACAGCTAAGGGATCAAGATATGTAAGTTAAGATCTTTCAGTAGCTTTTGGAAAATTGTTTGGGATAAGTTTTTCAATATTGATTTTATTTCTAGTATACATCATGACAATAGGGCTGTGAAGGTTAGCAGGATTAATTGTAATAAAGAGGGAAAGAGTACTATCTCGCATAATAGTAGCACGTATTTTATTACACATATGAAGATGGGATTGGTAGAAAGCCATTAATTTAGAACCAGCAGCATTGATATTTTTGAGTAGTTCAAGTATCACAAGGTTAGTTATATTTTGCTTATTTTGCACTTGCTCAATGGCTAGTTTTAAATCACATGGGTTAAGTCTAGATATCAAGAGAGCTAACTGGTCAAAATTTACACTTCGAGTTAGATTATAAGTCTCTGTTGAGACTTTACGTCACTGTAAAACGTTAAAGATAACAAAAGGGAATGTCTTATATTGTCTAAACTTAGGATCACAATGGTTCATTAGATGGTTTGCATATTTTTTTAATGATAAATATATTAATCAACCTTCAGGACCTTCAACTCTATACAGATATAGAACTAGGAAAGCTGCTGGAAAAAGATTTTGATCTTGATATTCATTGAGAGGTATATTACCATGAGGTATACATATTATAGAAGATCGTGCAGATTTAGTTGTTGTTTGATTAGTATTTTTTTTAGATCATTGGTTAGATTTGTCTATTAATTTTTGCAAAGAAAGTAAAGTTAATTCTTTTCTTGTAACCAGTACATCATTAATATGTAATATTCCAAAAGGTCTTAGTTCATTTGTATTATTAATAGTGTTATTAGTAATAAATTTATTTAGATTACAGTTGTCATCAACAGATATTCCTTCATCGCTTTCATTATCTGATTCAGCATTAATAAAAAAGAGATCTTGGGTATAGCCTGTATAATTATCTGTTTGTTGATAATCAACACATATAATAGTAGTAGTTAAAAGTAAGGTTTTAGGAATATTACTTTCAAGCAAAGTATTTAAAGCATTTTTGTCAATTGTATATTTCTCTTTAAATATTTTATTGTATATAAAAAGCCATTCAAGTGCTGCTACAATTTTTCTTTTTTGAACTTGAAGTATTTTTTTTAATTGAAAGTTGGAAAAAGAGCCTTTTCCAATAAAAACCACTTTTAGATATTCAGAAACTCGATATACGAGTAAGGGCAATAACTTTATTAACAAGCCAGGATTCTGTAGTAATGTTATAACATGACCTTTAAGTTTATGATATGTATGTTTTTTTTTTTGTTATTTGAATAAGGTTTATGCATAAATATCCTGATGAGATAAGTATTTGCTCTAGAATAGTTAAATCTTGAAAGCATAATGGCATAGGTCCAATCCACATATTATTTGTTAAGGATAAGGGAGGAATTTTATGCTTTTGTAGATGGTTATGACATATAATACAAATTTGTAAGCAAAAGAGTTTATTGCAATTTAATAAATTGTCATTTTTTTGATATTTGGATGAATATATAAATTCAGATCGATCGAGAAGAATTTTCTTTCTACTAGCAATAATGCTAGAATGATTATAGATAAAATTTATTTTAAATGAAGGATCAATGAGATGGGTTGGGGCTTCAAGCAGAGAAAGGTCAATGTTAGATACAGAAATCTTTTTATAGTTCTTATGATTGAAAAGTCCAGACAAATAGCACATGGTAATTCATGTAATTTTTTAAAATCAATTTTATCACAGAATTTAGCCAGGGCACTTTTTGCTATCTCATCTTTGATTGGGTAGGGCCACTCAGTATATTGATTAAGCATTTCTTCAAATTTCTGATTTGTCTCTAGAACACATAGTGAAATATTTAAATTAGTTGTATTAAACTTGTTTGCAAGATGAATCATGGTTCTCTTTATTTTTTTGCACTTGTTTTCCAATATATTAAATGTACGGATGTAATTTATATAATAACAATATTTACTTTTGTATTGTCAATTTTTAGCTTTTTTGAAATCATAAAATTGAAGGTTTTTACATTAAATAGCGATTCGTTTATGAGATTTTCTTTTTTTAATTTTATCTCGAGTTTCTATATTCATCATAGGAAATTTAAGCAAACATTAAATTGAATTGAAAACAATTTTTGATATATCGTATTTATTTAAATAAAGGTAATCGATTAAAATAAAAATTAAAATTTTATTGTGCTTTTTTTCTTATTGCAATATTATATAATCCATTATTACAGTGATTCAATAAGAGTATAGTAATCTAAAAGTCAATACGTTGTTTGAATTTTTTTGGATCACAAGTACTATAATAGTAATCTGATTATATAGAGTGGTAAGGCTTATTATTTGAACTTTTTATTTAATAAATATTTTTACAAAATTAATATTTAACATAAACAGAAATTCGTTTAACATAATTAACTACCATTCTTGTAACTTTTATTACTATAACATTAAATATTAGCAGATATTTATTTATAGGAAAGATTGACACAGAGAAAAGGTTGTATATATGTACTTAGAGAGGGCATAATTTAGTAAACTAGATTGTAACTAGAATGTACTTCATAAAAAAACAATAATGAAAAAAAGTAAAGAAAAAAAGAGTATATTCATAGAACATAGATTTATAGAATTTTCATAAGCTATATTAGGAAAAATATAAACTACACGCAGTTATATAATATGGATCTAGTGCTAGCTCTAAGCTTGGAACTGAATAATCGAATGCATACAAGAAAGGTGTGTGCTTGTAAAGATCATTTATAGAAGTTCTATAGTACAACAGAATCAAGAAAATCAAGGTTTATTAAGCCACATGATAGTTTTGACATATTACTACAGGTCAAAATTTTCTTGATATTTTAGAAATTAGTAAGTCAAGTAATATTATATGTAAGAACCAAAAACAAACAGAAATCTTAAAAGGCTGCTTGTGTTATTCTGAGGTGATATTTTATTAAGCAATACACATCAAAACTCTATAATTACTCTTCTCTAACACATACTCAAACTCAGGTCAATATATATATAATTCTCATAAATGCACTTCTTATAAACTATAAGCACATATTATTAAACTTTAGTTGTAAGAAGTGCATTTATAGAGAGTTTAATAAAGACATTTGCTCAGATAATTTGAGCAATAAAAGGTTATTTTTTTGAAGAACTTTTCTTTTTTTCTCTCATAGTTTCTCTGTTATATCTTGTTCTTTTTTTAGGTTAAAGTTCTTCTTCCTGTTCATCACTTTTATCCTCTAAAGCCTCATCATTATTATCAGATTTAATTTCTATAACCGGGGGATCTAAATCAATATGATCATAAACAATGATGGCTGAAGAAGGATTAGATGCTTCAATATTTTTTTTAGATGACTCAGTAAAAGCAGAATTAATACTTTTATTAAAAATATTAATAATTGTTGGTACTCCTGATGCACTCAATGAAGAGCTTTTAGATGAGTTAATGCTAATGGTTGGAGTTTTTATATAATCAATATTGGTTGCCTCAATTATTATTTTTCAGATTTAGAAAATCTAAGTAACCCTGATATGAAATGGGTATTCTGTATTTTGATACTTGAACCCAGAGGGCCCAAGTATTTGAACCTAATCAATTAAAGAGAATAAATAATAGTCATGTCTATTTTAATATCAGGTTTACCAGTAACTGAATTATACTCAATAGTCTCTGCACCAAAGTGGATAAACTTATCAACTTTTCTCAGCATTTGATTGACAACCACAGAATATATGCAATAAGGTATACACAAAGGAACATTGGTTGTATCAAATTCACAGTTGGGGTTGTTATTATCAACAATGCTCAAATATGCTACAATGAAACATAGTTCAGAATCTTCAATAACAAATTTTCCTGAAATAAATATAACGTCCCCACTTAGGAACATTTGGACAGGTTGTTCTATAGATAAGAAATACTTGAACCTAATTGTCTGAGATAATTTTTTTGAAAATTTATATTTAGCAATACTGTGCGAACATAAGTGACTATGTTTTATGCTAACCATAACTACAAGAAGGGCAATATGAGAAACCATTTTGCTTTAATTTTTTTTTTTCTGCAAAGCAGAAGTTACCATTTAACAAAATAAACAGATAGAAGTAGCACATTCATAACATCATAAAAACAACACAAATTGTTTACACATATCAAAATAGCCTGGTAGTCAACAGGTCATCAACAAATAATAACTTATTTGGTCATAAATGTCTTTAATCAAATACTTGAACATAGTTTGGGTTAGAATAGTAAAAAAAAAAAAAAAAGAAAGTTTCAGCATGCTACATGCTACATGTTACAGTTAATGATAATTAGAAGAGTAATAAAACAAGTAAAATTTGACAAAAGCACAAGAGGCTTGTACATAGACAATAAACAACAACAATAAATGAGGCTTATGTGATAGCATAGCAATACCTTGATTCAAATACATTTCACACAAATGGTACCTAGTTAATCATATATAAAACTTATTATAAAATCAAATCAAAATTCAGTTATCAAATAAAAATATGACTCTATTGATAATAATATCCTTAACCAATCTTCCCATCAACCAAATCATCAACACTACACCTATAAATCTGCACATAAAAAACCCATCAACCAGACAATATCAGATGGTACAGCAATGGTATGATGAAAAAAATAGCATTACCTTTAGATCAAACATATGTTCAAACCATGTGATAAATAATACAGTATAACTAACATTCAGCCACAACCATATGAAGCAGTGACAAATGTGAATGTGAAGCTTAAGCACAAAAATTTACAGTTTACTCTGCCACAACTTACAGACCAATCAGGTTAAAAATTTTGTGTATAGACAGACATTTGAGACAGGGTATAAACTATACACTACATGTTATGCTACATATAACACTCCGTTTCTGATATATTGTTTATGTTTTGGTATTATGTTAATAGTGATTTTGTTAAATTTAGAAATTACAGATTGTGAGTTAGTATAGATTTGGATATTGCTGTTTTGAGGGCATATGCATATAGCTGATAGAATAGCTACTAGCTCAGCTTTGTATAATGATGGCCAGAATTTAATTTGAGAAGAGTAAGTTTCAATAATAGTATTGTTATGTATCTGTATTCATCCAATATTCATTGAACATCTATTAGTAGTAATATTGGTAACAGATCCATTAATATAAAAAGTAAAGTTGGTACATTGGGTATTTTGATTTGCAATTTGTTGTAATTTGATAAAAGATGAATTAGTATAAAAAATAAGAAAGATTGGATCTTGTGATAAGGTAATAAATAGGAGTGTAAAAATTCTAGTAGGATTGCATAATGCAATTGAGTATACAAAATCTGTATAATTTGCATTAAGCTTAAGTATGTTTGTAGAATTTTGTTGTTTTCTTCCTAAAAATTTTGTAGAAAAAGTAGCAGAAATGTCAAATATATAGTAGTTTAGTATTCTATTAGAGTTATATGAACATCCTGTGCATAGTATACAATTGACTAATAAGAGTGAATAGAGATTTGTGTTTGGTGCATTTGCTTTAATTGTCTAGTGTGTAATAGATATAGTGTTATTGTTTTGGTTGTATTTGCATATCTTTTCTATTATTAATTGTTTACTATTATAATTAACAGTAATAAGCCAAGATTTTGATTTTGAATTGTAATGTTAGTTGTAAAAGATAAGGTGTTAGTTTGTAAAAAACTCAGATTAGAGTTAAGTTTTCTAGTAAAAGAATGTATAATAGTTTTGTTTTCTAAAACTATAAACTATTTTGATTTACATCTTGTAAAAATTTGTTCAAGTTTTGGTGAAATGTGTTTCTAATCTAAGAGTGTAGAGTTATTAGATGAGGTTAATTGTTTGAGATAAAGGATATGTTTAGTTCATAATTTTTTTTGAAGTTGTTGTAGTCTTTCTATGTTTTAAGAATATTTTCAATTGGTATATATGGGTATTGTAGTATATGTAATAGTATTGTGCGTGCAGAGATAATAAATTGTAGATGTCATTGTAGTAGTATTATTTAATATGTTGTTATATTTTTTTGGACTATCTATTAGTAGATGTGGATATTATAAGATATTAGTGATAGACTACAGGTTATTTTGTAATTGTTGTAATCAGATATGTGTACTAGTTCTAAGTAAATCTGTTGTGTTTAGTTGAATTAAGAAGTTGATAATGTAATATTATAACTAGATATCCTATATGTTTTTGATATTATATATATTATAGTTTAACATAGTGCTAGTTAGAGTAGTTAGTGCAAGTTTGGATTTGTGTTTGGCAGTAGTAAGATATCTAGATAAAATTTTGGTACATATATGTTAAGGAAGTACTATATTATATATATAATATTTGATAATAGGAATGATAACATTATTAATTATATAGAAAACTTGTTTGTTTGTTATTTGTTTAATTTGAACTATATTTGTTAAACCAAATGTTTCTTGTAGAATAAGTTTGATTGTGATGGCTTGTTTGTTAGTTGCAGTATACTAGCAACCAAGAAATTTTAAAGATGTGTTAAGTGGTTGAATTGTAATAGTTAAGTTTAAAAAAGTGAAAGTGGATGTATGTTTTGTGTTAGATATATTAGACTGAATTTTTGAAGATTTACTTTAATGTTTGCCATTTGGTAAAATGTAGATGCCATATTAATAATATTTTGTAGTTGCTGTTGAGATTCTGCTAACCATAATGTATCATCCATATATGCTAATACAGAAGT